AGATGGTTCGATCGATAGAATAGGGTTAGGGTTTGAGGATAGATCAAATAAAAATTGAGAAATTTTGAGAGATGATGATCAATTGAAAACTGGAAAAGAGGAGAGAGAAAGAGAGCGAGCAACGGCTGAAGCGGGACCCATTAACGGCTTTTTCCTAGGAACATTTTTAGAGTGGAGGTCATTACATTGGCGTAATTCTAAATTAATTTAATTAATTTTTTTAATTAATTAAAATGTGAAGCCCAATTTGTATTTTGACTTCTCTTTTAACGGCTTATAGGCCAACATGGCCAATATTCAAGGTTTTGATATTGTGATCCAAGCTTGACTTCATTTAGAAATTTGGAATTTGGATTCAAACTTGATCATATCTGAATGCGGGTTTAATTGTAGGTTTTTTTTACGGAATAAAGTATCATGTTGCCCTAGTTGGTTTGTTTTGATTGTGCATGATTTTTGGTGTCAGGCATGGCGTGACTTATGCGTTCAGCTTAGGGGTGGGACTTCGGTCTGGCAGTTCGGTTTTGACCTCAGTTTGAAACGGTTTCGGTTTGAAACGTTTTGGGTTAAAACGGTTTCATTTAGACGGCGGGTCGGTTCAGTTCGGTTTTGATTAGTCACAGGTCGGTTCGGTTTCGGTTTATTTTTGTACGATTTAAATTCGGTTCGGGTCATAAACGGTTTGGTTTATAAACAGTTCGGGTCATAATCGGATCGGTTAGAAATGGGTCGCTTCAGGGGCGGATTCACTCGGGTCAATGTCGGTTCGGTTTTTAAACGGTTCGGTTAATAATCGGGTCGGTTTGAAACAGGTCGGTTCAGGGGCGGGTTTACCCGGGTCAATGCCCGTTCGGTTTATAAACGGTTCGGGTCATGATCTGACCGGTTTGAAACGGATCGGTTCAGGGGCGGTTTTACCGGGTCAACGTCGGTCCGGGTTCATATAGGTTCGGGTCATGAACGGATTATTTTGAAATGGGTCGGTTCAGGGGCGGGTTTACCCGGGTTAATGCTAGTTCGATTCATATCGGTTCGGTTTATACTCGGTTTGGTGCTAAAATCGTTCGGGTTAGTTTGGTAATCAGTTAAATAGGATCGGGTTGAAATCGAGTTCTTAAAAGTGGTTTTGACCAGTTAGCGCGTTTTGTTTTATATCAAGTTGGGACTAGTATTTCCATTTCATTAGCGGGTCGGCATAGGTTGGTGAAAAAAATAATGGATCGAGTAGAAATTGGGTTTTAAGAGATTTTTGACCGGTTAGCTATTTTCGTTTTATATAAAGTTGGGACTTCGTCACTTTATTTTCAGACTCGGATTATATACAATTACACAAATCTTCATTTATTCAATTATTCTATATCATGTTAATATGTTATGTTTCAAGTTTGGTTATACTCTTGTTGTTGTTTATTCGATATTATCATATTAGTCTATTACAAATTTATGATGTATTAATGTATTATTGTTTCATTATTAAATATATATTATTAGGTTATCAGCTTCTTGTTGGATTGTTTTAGATATCGTGTCATGACCATGTTTTGATGAATTGCTACTTTGAATACGATAAATCGATTCAGATATCAGATTATATAGAATTACAGAAATTCTCATTCATTCTATATCATGTTAATGTTTATGTTTCAAATTTGGTTATAGTCTTGTTGTTGTTTATTAAATATTAGTCTATTACAAATTTATAAGGTATTAATGTATTATTGTTTCATTATCAAATATTATCAGGCTATCAGCTTCTTGTTTTAATTGTTTTAAAGATCGCGTCATAACCATGATTTGATGAATTGGTACTTTGAATACGATAAATCGATAATTGATATTGTAATAAACTAATAATTTAATGTTACGGAACTATATTTGGATGTTTAATTAAAATCACGATTATTCAATTTCCCATTAGTCTAATAAAGTAATGATTGACAATTGTTTGTAACTATTCCATAATTTTGGTGTAAAGTTATATTGCTGAATTACTTTGTTGTCTTACCCTCTCTAATCACCTTTTAAGATTACGTGCCTACAAGGCTGCAACATATATATGTTGCAACTTGCAAGTTAAAGAAAACGGGTGGGGAAGTAGAAGTATTCAATTAGATCGATCATCAACTGTTTTAAGTTTTAATAATCAGATACATTTATCGATTATCTATACATACCAATGATAGTATGATACCAATCGTACCATACATTATTATTTATTACATATACTGATATACATATAACTAATATACATTAAATATGTCATATTGAATCAATTCCAATTTCCAAATATTTGTGTTTCTTACAATTTATAAGTTACATAAAGTTAAGAGTACAATAGTGTTTTTATTAGTATGTAGCTATGAATAAAAAAAAAAACATACTATCCAAATCCATTATCCCATGATCCGTGTCACCGTCTTATATTAAATATCAGCCATTGATTTGCATGTCATCTAACGGCCTATCATCGCACACATTCCAATTCACGATCCGTGTGTTTTCTTTTCCACCAATCAGATCACTCTTACCATCGTCTCTTTAGTACTCTTTTTTATTTCTCTTTCGTTTTCTTAATCCTCTTCTGTAATATTATCAATTTTTTGAAGCCATGGCTGCTAATATGCTCACTGCTATCTCGTTTTCTCTCTCATCTCCTCTTCCTTCTTCCTTTCTTCTTCTTCCTTCTTCTCCCTTCTTCCGTCTATGTTCTCCTTTCTTCCATCTCGTTTCTCCGTCTCCGTCCACCGGCACCACGCACGACGGTTTTTATGGTCAAATTCGACCACGAAACTCTTGATCTAGTTGTTTCATGATCGAATTTGGCCTTTTAAAACTAAATTCGAGGCCAAATTCAGGATTAATATATAAGGTGTTTTCGTTCTTCCTTTTTTTATTTTTTGTTTTTCTTTTTAATTTTTTTTCAAGTTGTGGGCAACGGAGGGGGCCGAGTTAGGGTGGGTGCGGCGGCGGTTAGACTGGGTTCAGGTGGGTGGGGAGGGAGGATTTTTCGAGGGAGGGAGGGAGTTTTATGGTGGGTGAGAAATTAGAGTGAGTTGGGGGGTTTCGAGGATGTTGGGTTTCGTGGGGATGGGTGGGGTGGGGTTACGGTGGGTTTGGGTTTTTTTCGATTTTTTTGTATGGGGTGGGGTGGGGTGTGTTACGGTGACGGTGGTGGGTGTGGTTGGGTTGGGTCTGGTATTTTTTTTTTTTTTTTTTTACAGTGACGGTGGTGGGTGGGGTGGGGTGGGGTTTGTTAAGGGGGTGGGGTGGGGTACGTTACGGTGATGGTGGTAGGTGGGGTGGGGTATGGGTCTGGGTTTTTATTATTTACGGTGACGGTGGTGGATGGGGTGGGGTAAGGTTTGGGTCTGGGTTTTTTTATTTACGGTGGGTGGTGGGGTGGGGTGGGGTGGGTTACGGTAATTATGGTGGGTGCGGGGGTGGTGTTAGGGTGGGTCTGGGTTGACGTTGGTGGGGTGGGGGTGGGTTACGGTAACGGTGGTGGGTGGGGGGTAGTGTTAGGGTGGGTCTGGGGTGACGGCGGGGGTGGTGTTAGGGTGGGTTACAGTGGTGGGTGGGTGGAGGGTGGTTGGATTGGGTGGGTGGCCAAATTTTTTCATTTTTTTATTTAATTTATAACTCCTAATTTAGTTATACAAGAATATAATTTTAAATTTATAATAGCAAAAAAATTTAATTTAAATCAATAATTATATGTAAAAAAAATTGTACTGTTAAATTACATTAAACATCAAATATATTTCGTGGAATTCTAACAAATTGTTAAAGGCTGTAAATAGTTCAATTTGAATGGAACGGGTTGTAAACGGTTCGGTTTAAATAGTTTGTAATCGGATCGGTTTAAACGGGTTGCGGTTTGAAAATAGTTCGGTTTAAACGGTTTAATGGGTTATAACAGTTCGGTTTAAACGGTTAGCGGGTTGTAAATGGTTCTATTTAAACGGTTTTTTCCTACGGTTTAAACGGTTTCGGTTTATAAACGGTTCGGTTTAAACAGTTAGCGGGTTAACATTAATCGGTTCAAACGGCTTCGGTTTATAAACGGTTTGGTTTGTTATTGGTTTACGGTTCGTAACGGGTTAACATTAATTGGTTTGGTTCGGTTTCGGTTTGACATTATACGGTTCAGTTCGGTTTTCGGTTTAAAATTAGCGGGTTATAAACGGTTCGGTCCGTGATGGTTCGGTTCGGTAACGAACGGTTTCACGGTTCGGTTTGAAAAGTCCCACCCCTAGTTCAGCTAAATTGATCAATTGACCTGATGTTACTTGGCGAGTGAGCTTTAGTAGCTGGCAACTATTTCTCCTGAATAATTTTTGTAGATCAAAACTTCAAGAAAATAGCGTTATTGAAAAGTCAACTTTACAATGACCAAGGGAATCAATATAAAATGAATAAGCACTAAAACCCAATGAGTAGACCCAAACTTGTTTTTCTAGATTAATTTCAAGGACTTTTTGACCTATATTTCGAAATGACCACCCAAATAAATTCGAACCTGAAAATAATCCAATCCAAATGTTTGTCCTTAAATCAATTGACAATTTAAATGCTATGCTTAATTAATTTGTAAGCCCCTAATCCTACTCTCTCCATCCATAATAGTTTGCTTTAATTTATTTTCTTTTACTGAGTCAAACTTCCTCAACTTTGATTGCACATTCCCTTTGATATATTAAGGGAAAAAAATATGGAATCTTGTTAGCTTAACATAAACATATATTTTAAAAGTATCAACTTTGTATAATTTTAGTGATATACAATTAAAGACATTATTGGTCAATAATAGAGTATAAATACAATCATATCTTAAGCTGATAGTTGAATTCCCATGAGTGTATGAGTTAATCATATTTACAGAGATCGTGAAAAGCAAATTAAATGGTGCGATAAGGGACCAAGGGGAGTAACAATTTGTTGTTCTAGTCTTTCATACCATGATGTCATGTTAGTTCACCAACCAGACAGCAATCAAACTATGCACTTACCAAGGCTCTTGTTTTCTTAAACTTTCATTGCTACAATCAGTCAATCATCAAGTTAGTTACAAAATCTAAGCAAGTTGATTGTGCCTCAAAGATATCAAGATTGGAAAGTCTAATAAAAAAAAATAAAAAAAAAAACTCCTATTATTGAGATACGTGAATCTCTAGTAAGGAAATTGCTAGTTTCTATACAAATTAATTGCATACTTTTGATCCTTTATTTTTTCTTCCAAATACATGGAGATTTAGCAATAATAATTCAACAAACCCTAAACTGCTAACAACGTACAAAGATCCTCTACATCCTTTGGACGAGAGCAGAAAGAACCTGAAGTACAGTCGAAAATACCCTACATATTACGGAGTGTATGTATATATGCTTCCATGCTGCTACTGCTTTCTCTTGATCACCCATCTAAGCGCATCAATTTGCAAGGGAATAAGATTATTACTATGCTATGCTGTTGAGAACTGCTGATTTAGATAACACACTTGCACTTGGCTCGACTGTCACTTAAAACCTGCAAACAGACGGACACTGTCATTATAAGTTGGATAACACCCCAAGACCGTTTTGGTTGTTTTTTTACAAAAAAACTATCCATTTGCAGAGCTAGTGATTAGGCTTCTAGAAGGGAGCGATGTCTTTAACACACTTGATGAGCAAATTGCTACGGCACTATTGGCATTTCGCCCTCTATTAGCTAGCCAGATATTTTCCTAATAATTGAAAGAGAATACAAATTCATTGTGCGTATGATTACAAGAAAAAAAAAACTAGGAGAACAAGCTCCTCTTACCTTATACTGATTTTGAAGATTTTTTATATAATCAACAGCTAAATCCAGCATGTCCGATGTATTGGTTTGCTATATCAGAAACAAAAACGTTATTAGGCATTTACAGCAGAAACATGTTAATTTGGAAGCATATTCTACATGAACCAACCTTGTCCATGTTTGGAACGAGATCTTGTAATTTCCTCATTCGTTCACTGATCCTGTTTCTTCTCATCTGAAATCAGACATACAATTGTCAGTATCTGTTACATGATTAATTTCATTAACAATGGTCGTATCAAGCTTACCCTTTCAGCGATACTTCTAGGGTGTGTTGCACAACCTCTTTTTGCTCTGACCTTACAAGGAACCACTTCCTGGAAATGCAGCAACTTCTCGACAGCAGCCATCTCAGCCGAATGATGTGTCAATCCAGCAGAGCGGCTTGTGATCCCACCATTCTAGTAATCATTTGAGCATCAATATTAGAGAGCTATATGAATTAAGTGCGAGAAGGGTACATTCCTCTGTTAAGATGTTTACCTCAGAAAGATGAAAAGATGCATCTGAAGTAGAATCATTCCAAGGAACATAAGGGTATCCTGTGGGACTAGTACTGTCAAACCCTGCATCATTTTCATGGTTTCTGAACTTCACCTCATCTGGACTTGTTTCCTTTACAATTTCATTTCCGAGCTCAGGAATTCGTGGCAAAAGGCCCATATTCAGCCTACTTGCACGAGGACTAGATTCACCACTAGTACCATTCCCTACTCTGAAGTTCCCGATACCCCTCATGATTGTGTACCCTAAAAGTTGTTATGAAGAGGTAAGAATTATCTTAAGCCAAATACTACTTGACGTTTACATTTACACATATAGTGCAGAACTTCGGTAAAAAGCCACAGATTAGAGGCAGATGTGTCGAGAAATTACTCATATTAGTAAATTATATTCACACGATGCTTATATGGAATATTCTCAACATCATCCAAGCACTGCCATTAAGTACGATTTCAGATAAGCCCAAACTGCTAATCAAAATTCATTCTCTAACCAAACGCCCAATACATGTCAAAACTATAGAAGCATAATAACCTACAAGTTTGTTACACATACATGAAGCCTTGGAGCTACTCATCCTAAAAAGCCGGTGACATCTCTAGATTGAACAATCAATGCACACTTATCAAGCGGCCAAGATTGAGCAATCTACCTAGATAATTATGTTTTGAAAGCAGTTTTCATCTGTAATTCTAGTAATCACAAGAAACACAAGAACCGGTAACACCAAGAATGGATACCACCAAGATTTGCTAACGTGACCAACTTAAGATATTGCATGAAATGGGATTAATTGCTAAAGATATATGGTCCATAAACAAAGGTTCAAAACAAGGATAGAAAAAGAAATCTGCCTAATAATTTATTGAACTCCCTTGATGTTGCTATAAAAAGCCATTTCTACGTTTTTTTTTTTTTTTTTGCCTCTTGTCGATTAATAGTAACGGCTTGAGTTACGCCTTTTCAGGCCTTCTTTAACTTAAGATTAACCTAGCAGCTTTCCTTATTTTTGCCTCAAGATCTAAATTCTATACATTGCTCTGCAATTAGCCTAAACTCTTCTCCAATTGCTCCCTCCTACCCACAGTAGTAGTGTAGTACTTCCTTTAATTTTTCAGTTTTACTATGACAATTTTTTACTGTTCACGTCCTCCACTTTAAACACCTTTGTTTGATTTGAGATCTCATTATATTCACTTTAATATATACGGAGTACTTTTATAATATCAAACTTTATTAAATTTTACATATAGGTGATTATAAATATAAATAGGCAAACTTGTGCATTGGTATTGGTAAACATGTCAAATCAATATTGTATAGATTACATCTAAAAATTTTAAGAAAAGTACAAAATTATATAGCAAGTCGATCTAAACAGATTTTAGTGGACCCTCTATTGAACACCACCAAAAACTAGCCTCCTACTCCACAAAATAAAACTGCCCTATAAAATACTTAAATAAGAAATTATTTTGTTTTAAGTTTAATCTAAATTAGAAGAATTATGCAATAATGATTGCATTAAGGGCAATATGTGTGATGTTAATTACTTTAGTTGGTTAAAACATAGGCGGATTCAAGAGCGGGCCTATTAGGGTCATGGTCCACCCAAGCCCACAAAATTTTAAGGATGTTGTGTAACTAATAACATAGAAAATGGGCAAGCGGAGTTGGTTATTCACATTTAGATAAGGTTTGTTTTTTTTTTTTTTTCCTTCTGATTTGTTAATTGATTTTTTGCTTTTTCCTGCCCATTGAAAAAGATTATAATTTACGGTCCACACTATGTAAAATTGGCAATGGGTTAAATTCTTAAAAGGCGACATCCAAGACTTAAAAATAAATCTCATAAACATCAATTACCTTTTGAGTAAATAAAAAAAAATAATAATAAAATAAAATTAAGCCCCTATCTTAAGGTGGCATGATAAGGATATATAATTAACGGCTATTTTACCAAAAGCCAATGAGCATTTTAATAATTCACCAAATGTTATCAAGGTTTTCAAAATTCTCCGAATGTCACCGACTTTTTAAAAAATTCACCGAGTGTCATTAATGATTAACGACCGTTAACTCCGTTAGTCATTAGAAATAAATCATGACACATGTCATGATATGATTGGTTCATTTCAATCATTTATTTTAATTAATAAAAATAACATTTTTTTTCTCGATTTTCGTGACAAAAATTGTTCGGATAAAGTTTGGTGGTTATTTTGACCCTATATGTATTCAAATTAAGCTCGGAATTGACAAAAGAATAACATAAATGTCATGTTTTGTGTGTCGAAAAATATCTCGATTAGCGAGTCATTATTTTTTAACCATGAAAATTGATCGGGTAAGGTTTTAGAGGTCATTTGGACCCTTTATGGGTTCAAATTAAGCTTGGAATTGGGAAAAAAAATGTTAATGCGCTGTTTTGTGTGTCAAAAAATATCTCGATTAGCGAGTCATTATTTTTTAACCATGAAAATTGATCGGACAAGGTTTTGGAGGTCATTTTGATCCTTTATGGATTCAAATTAAGCTCGGAATTAGCAAAAAAATAACATAAATGCCTCGTTTTGTGTGTCAAGAAATATCTCAATTTTCGTGTCGGTTTTTTGAACTATGTAAATTGTCCAAGTAGGGTTTTGGCAGTCATTAATAAGCTTGGAATTGGCAAAAAAAATAATGTAAATGCCCTGTTTTGCGTATTAAGATCGTAATTTTTTTACCGTTAAAATTGCAAAACGGGATGTTTATGTTAATTTTTGCAAAATATGAGCTTAAATTAGACCCATAAACAGTCAAAATGACCCCCAAAACCTTACCCGTTCAATTATAATGGTTAAAAAAAGGATACGCTAATCGAGATATTTCTTGACACACAAAATGGGGCATTTACGTTATTTTTTTGCCAATTCCGAGCTTAGTTTGAAACCATAAAGAATCAAAACAACCTCCAAAACCTTACCCGATCAATTGTCCGGGTTAAAAAATAATGACTCGCTAATCGAGATATTTTTCAACACACAAAACGGGACATTTACGTTTTTTTTTTTTTTTTTGCCAATTCCAAGCTTAATTTGAATCCATAAAGGGTCAAAATAACCCCCAAAACTTAACCTGAACAATTTTCGTCACGAAAATTGAGAAAAAAAAATGTTATTTTTATTAGTTAAAATAAATGATTAAAATGAACTAATCATATTATGACATGTGTCATGATTTAATCCTAATGACTAACGGAGTTAACAGTAGTTAGTCATTAATGGCACTCAGTGAATTTTTTAAAAAGTCGGTGACATTTGGTGAATTTTGAAAACCTTGATGACATTTGGTGAATTATTAAAGTGTTTAGTGTCATTTGATGAAATAGCCATATAATAACTATGGTGTACTATGTACTGTACATCTTAGTGACCTTACCCACTACTCCCTATTATTATTATTATTGTTTTTTTTAGAACGAGTCTCCAAAAATAGTCATGTAGACGAGACTTGATCTCAGTTGTAAACCACTCCTTAAGACTTTAATCAACTAAATTTAACTAACACAATTAAGCTAGCTAGCATTCACAACATCATTGCTAATCACTCTTAACTTTTGGAATTAATTATCTAGTTGATAATGTAATATGGAATGAATAATTTTTTAATCTCTCTTTGCATTGAAAATCTACCAAGCAACATGACAACTAAATCTGAACAAATATAGTGCATACGGAGTAACATAACACCAATACTCAATCTGGAAACTTAAACTAATATTGCAAAAATAAAAATTACCATTTTGGGTGTTATTAAGATGATTGAAAAATCCAGCAGGGGAGCTACTCTGGCGATTAAGATTCAAACCACAATTCCCCTGTCTCGTCGTCGAGAGATTGATTGTTGATCGATCCATTGAACTTGAAGTATTTAACTTCGGATATTGAGGAGGTAACTGACTACTCTGTTCGTTGCCGCCGCCGCCACCGCCTACCATTAGATTCTGAGGCTTTCTTTCATATGATTCAAAAAAATCATCTGTAATTCTGCCATTAAACTTCTCAGAATCACTGGAATTCTGGGTTAATTCATTGAATAAAGAACTTGGAGCAGAGCGAAATCGCAATAACCCGGAATTATTCTGCTGTTGTTGATGATGATTATGACTAAGGAATTGGGGTTCAATATAAGAATCCATAACACAAAAGCTAAAAGAGGAAAGTATATATTGTTGCAAAGATTTTCTTTACTATTTTTAGATGATTGAAAAAAAAACTGAACAATAAGAAATAATCAAAGGTTTCTATAATCGGAAAAATTCTACAACTAAGTGTTGACTTTAGCTAATAATAATCACCACTGATACAAATGAGTGGTGATGGATCTAAGAATATGAATTGGAACAAACTTCAAAAGAGGAAAAGAAGGACAAAGTTGACACGGGTCAACGAGATATTGTACTCCCTCCGTTTCAGAATAGCTGCGATACCTTACTATGTCTTACAAGATTTGTCATAGTTTGGGGTAAGTTTAGGATTGAAAGGGTGTAAGGGAGAGAGGAATAAAAGTAGGAGGGGACAAAGGGGGCCTAGATTTTGTCTACACCGAATCTAATCGCTAGATTTGGGAGATAATGAGAGGTACATACAAATACAAGATAGTAATAATATGTTAGATTGTTAGCGCTGTGTATATCATTTTCCTATAATCGATTAACGTTGCGAAATGAGAGCAGCAGTAAAAGCAAAGGGAAGGGAGAAAGAGAGAGGCGGTAGGAGAAAGCGAAGGCTGCGGAGGTGGTGGGTGGGTTGATGAAAGTGATAACAATGAAGAAGACAGCCACAGAAAATTAAAAAATATTAAAGGAAAAAAAATGGAAATAAAAGGAGAAATTGTGGGTTTTTATTTAATTGATTGTAGAAAATAATGAGAGTTTGAAAATGTATTTCCTAAAGAGGAAGTAGTTTCCACAAATGCGAAGCATATCTTTCATTTATTCCTATTTCCTTTGGTTGTCTCCATGTCTTGCTCATCCCGCCGCCACCCTTCACCACTCTTTTCTTTTTCTTTTTCTTTTAAAATAAATTAGGAACCATTTTTTTTTTTTAATGTTTTTTATATTTTATGGAACGGCCGGACGGGTAAAGCTAAGGCTATAAAAGCCAATATCATATACTTCCCTTGGTTTTTTTAGTGTAACTATTCTAACCATTTATTGCATTATATCATTTGTTTTGTCAAAAATTCAAGCCAAATTCACTACTTCACAACTATCACAATTGCAAAAAGTCGAAGTATAGAAAAATAGAGGAGTACTCAGCTCTATGTTATATATCTAAGTAAGAAAGGTAGTTGACGTAGGGGTGTGCAAAAAACCAAAACACTGAAATTCAACCCTAAAACAGAAAAATAAGGGCTTGTTTGGCATCGTTTTATGTCTTTCAGTTTTTTTTTTTTTTTTTTTTTTTGAAAACAAAAAACCAGAAACAAGAAAAAAAAAAGATGTTTTCACTTTTCTATTGACAGTTTTCAAAATTTTCATGATTTTAATGAGTTTGACTAATTTTTGATTCATTATATGATATATATCATATGATTTTGAAAAACAAAAAACCAGAAAACGAAAAACCATAGCGATGTTTGACCAGGGGGACGACAACCAAACATTGCATAGTTTGACAAAAAAAAAATATTAAAAAAGTGAACACATAGATAGTTTAATAGTTAAAGTTTTACTACTCAAAAACCCAAAATATATATACTTAGTCATACAATTAAAAGAAGATGAAAAAAATTACATAAAGTTTTCTTAAGTTTCTTTATTTGGTTTTGAGGATAATATTTTATGTTCATTTTTTTCCCTAGATCATGAAGAAAAGTTCAACATCGTATACCAATTCATCCTCCTCTTGTGGTACATTACTAGTTCTTGAATCACCTATTTTATCATTATTTTCTTGAGTTTGAGGGAGCTAAATGAAGGAGTTAAACATGAATTGCAGAAGATCAGGTTGCTTTGTTGTCTTGGAATTATTTGAATTAGGTGAATTATTTGATATGTCTTAATTAAACTGAAAATTATGAACCAATAATAATTTAATTAACATATCATACGTACAAAATTATCAAACAATTTAACATATTTACCAAGCTAACAGCTTAACAACCCTAACATTAGGATTTAAACAATCAACAATAAAAAAAAAAAAAAAAAAAAAAAAAAAAAAAAAAAGAAAATTGGGTTTGAATACAAAGTTTTGTTGTTGTTAAAGTTTTTTTTTTTTTTTTTTTTTGGGGGGGAGGGTGTCCTCTATTATTCCTCCCTCCTTCTACCTCTGTTTGTTATGTTATGTCTGCTCTGCTATAATTAGAAGCTCAAAAAAACATGGCACTTCTTCTTTATGTGAAGAAGTAAATTTCTTTTTCATAATTATCAATACATGCAAACTATAACTATGATGATATTTAAATACTAACCTCACAATTTCTTCCCATAAGTCTCATAATAACACAAAAGTTTATAAAAAAATAGTAGTATATAAGTTCAAAGTTTTATTTTGGTTGCTTCACATTACTTGCAACAAATTTTTTTTTTTCTTATTTAAAAACTTTTTTATGTCAAAATGACCAATATACACTTATTTAAAATTTTTTACCACATAATTACAACCCATTATTACCCTAATCTAAATTAATTATCTATGAAATCCCACCCAAATAATCAGACCCATTATCTCTCTCTCTCGTCCTTCATCTCTCATTTCATCATCTTCATCTCTCATCTCTCATAATCAAATTCCAAACCACCCTTTTAGTGGGTCTCACATCTGGTTGTTGGTGAGTTTGGTGGTTCGTCGGTGATTTTGGTGGTGTCGTGGGTGGTTCTGGTGGGTCGTCGGTGGGGTTTTGCGGTTTTGGTTGTTTTGTTAGCTTTGGTGGTTTTTGTGGTTTCGCAGGGGTGGAGGAGGGGTTTTTGTTTGGTGGTGTAGGTCTAGGTGGTTTTGGTGGTTTCGTGGGTGTTGATCTGTGGTTTTTAGTGGTGTTGGTGATGTCGAAGGGTCGAAATCTGGTAGTGTCGGTGGTTTCACAGGGGTGGAGGAGGGGTTTTGGTGGTTTCGTGGGTTTGGTGGCGTGGGTCTGGGTGGTGGTTGTGGGTGGCGTGGATTCTAGATCTGGGTGGTTTCGGGTAGAAGTGGTTTCGTTGGGTGGTTTCGGGTGGTTCTGGATGGTTTCTGGGTTGCGTGCGCATTCATTGATTGTGGTGCTGGACTTTTGGTTGTTTAGTTAATTATTCACCCTCTCTCCTCCTTAATTACATCATTTACATGCCCTTAATTTTATATAATTATGCTTCAAAACTTTTGGCTTAACAACCGTGTTCCCCTTTTTTGTTGCAAAAAATATGAAATGAAGGGAGTACATAAGTCAGGTGAAAGAGCCAATCGCTTACGTTTGACTTCGATTAGGTTTTGGCGTTCAACTGTGAACTTTCTGGAGAATGTGTCAAATCTCTAGTTTCTTATTATAATAATAATTTTAACCTCTTGGTCATTAATATCATTTGGTTAGTTCATTGCCTTAGCCCTTAGGCCCTTAAAGGGAGGATTTTCAACTCATAATAAGGGCTCAACTCCTTGTAATTTTTAAGGGGAGTATTAGATAGGAGTATACCTTGTTTTTTTATACGTTATCAGATATTTTAAAGTAGAGGTTGGAGGTTTAAACCCTTTACATTTTTGTTTAGAATCTGCCACTGAGCCTCTATTAATTTTAACATCATTATGTAAATTGTGCTGCTCAAGCTAAAGAGAAAGGAAATAATTTAGACATACTCAGTTCATTAATATATAGTTGCGCCATTTATTCCGTGGTCTCCAATTTAATGCATTTGTTTAATCATTAATAGCTCTATTATTACTCCGTAGTAAAAACTTCTTCCTCCATTTTTATTTACTTATCCACACCACAATAGCACCAGTTTAATAAAGATATATTAGATTAGATAATTTAAACTTATAAATTATTTAAAATAATAATACCGACAATACGAAGAAAGTGTATGATAAAAGTTACACTAACTTTTAATAAATATTGTACATCGGTTATGAAGTTGTCCTAAATTAAATGATCAAAAACTAATTTTAAAATGAATAAAGTTAGGATTATATATATATTTCGTATAAATTATAACACAAATAAATTACATCTCATTAAAGTAAGTTTCAGGTCTAATAAGTTCAGATAAGTTACAATAAGGTCTAATAAGTTTAATATAGTCTAATAAGTTCAATAAGATCTGATAAGTTCCAATAAGTTAAATAAGGCCTAACAAGTTTCAATAAGTTAAAAAAAAAAGTCTAATAAGTTCCATATAAATTCTAATCAAGTCTAATAATAAGGTCCAATAAGTTTTAATAATGTCCAATAAGTTCAATAAGATGTAATAAGTTCCAATAAGTTCAATAAGTTAAAATAGGTTCGAATAAGTTTAATAAGGTCTAATAAATTCAGATAAGTTAAGTTATGTTCAAATAAGTTCAGGTCCAATTTCAGAATATTGTTTGAATTACTGTAATACGCGAGATTTTAAAAGTTGATTTATTATTTTCTAATTTTAATGTTATTAGCTTAATTAAATTTCAATTCCTATTTTACCAAGAACGAATGTTTTATTCTTAATTTTATTTTAAGGTTATATTTTAAGGTTATATTATTTTGGAAGCTAATTTTACAAAGGAAAGCAACTTATTTTAAAATGTATGTTGGTTAAGTAGTATTTTTATGTTGTATCAAATAGTGTTCAAAGATTTACATCAAAATCTGTATTTTTAATTTTATTCTTAATTTTATTTTAAGGTTATATTTTAAGGTTATATTATTTTGGAAGCTAATTTTACAAAGGAAAGCAACTTATTTTAAAATGTATGTTGGTTAAGTAATATTTTTATGTTGTATCAAATAATGTTCAAAGATTTACATCAAAATCTGTATTTTTACCCGAGATAGTGAAATGACTGAAATGCCCTTGCCTAGAGACAAAATCCACCTCTTCCATTTACCTCTTCTTCTTCACGGCTAAGTATTAAAGGCCATATTGGTTTTGCTTAATTCTTTTACTTGTTGCCTAATTTTACCAAACCAATCAAAGTTGATTGAATAAGCTTAGCTCAACCTAGAGCTTATCCTACTACTTCACAGTTAAGAAATGATTAAGAAAAGATAGACTTTGCTTCATCCAACTAGCAAACAAAACCCACCTCTTCCTTGTTTGTCCCTTCACGGTTAAGTGATGGCATAACAATCTTGTTTGGGGTAAAAATACCTCTGACACGTGATCCAATCATATAAAGATATGTGGCCCAATAACAGGGCAACACGTGTCTCAATAGGAAGATGACACGTGGAAAACAGGAGAGCACCCGAATGAGGGAAAGGCCTCCTTAACATCAGGAGGCCCAAATCATGAGAAATGCACTAAAACGACGCCCCCCAAAGGACACTTGTCGTTACTTGATTGCGCCGCCAATCAGAGCACACCATCTTAGGTCACAAAATCTTAAATGGCTCACACTCCCACCCCTATAAATACCCCAATCATTTATGTGGGAGGGGTGGATTGAGACAATATCATTCAAGAGTATTAAATTGCTCCAACTTCTCTCTACTTTCTCTCTCTAAATTACTTCGTTTTCCGATCACTAGCTTGATCATTGGAGGCGAATATTCCGTCAAACGGAATATTCGTTGTTTTACAGGTGTTCACGACCGTCCGGCTATATTCAATACCTGTATCCCGAGGAATTCCAGAAAACCTTAAAATATTTGGCGCCGTCTGTTGGGATACATGTCTAAAATGGCAAAAGATGGTCAGACACCTGGTCATGTCAGGACGGCTACGTAGAAAACATAGTCGCTAATCAACACCAGTGATCCTCTGATTACCTCATTCCATGAGGCCGAGGACCCCCCCAGTAATTGTCGGCTCCTTGCAGGCCGCCTTGAACAAGCTTCGAAAATATTTTAAGGGTAAGATACCTTCTTCTTGTAGACAGCCGTCTAGAAGAGAAGAAGAGGGTATCAGAAAAAAAAAAAAAAAAAAAAAAAAAAAAAAAAAAAAAAAACCAAAAACAAGACAACTAACACTGAGGATACAAGGAATACCCCGTTCAAAAGACATAAGAGGTCCCAAAGGGTGCCTCGGATGAACTGGT